GAAAAAAAAAAACAAAAAAAAAAAAGAAAAGAAAAGAAAGAAAAGAGCTTGGACGACATACGCAAGATTTTTCTTCTCAGCCTCCGTATCTGTGGCCCCTTCCTCTCTACCCAATAGCTCCCCTTCATCCTCGAAATCCTCATCATCATCCCCATCATCTCCGCCTCCACCGCCCGTCGCACCTGCTCTCACAGACCCTTCCGCATCAACAGACGACCGCATCTCCCCTCTCGCCGCATCCTCCCTCTCACGCTCCTTCTCCGCCTTACTCTTACGCCCACGCTTCTTATTCCGAAATACACCGTCCGCGCTCGTGCCCCCTAGACTCCCAGTGAAGCTGCCCGTCACACTGCCTGCATCGCTAGCAGCGCCGTATGCGCGTGTATCCGCGTCGATAGTCGTCGGAAAGGAAGTCTGACGGAGTGGGTGCATGCGTGGTCGTTTAGGGTTGGTGCCGAGAGGTTGGGAGGCGGAGGATGAGATTGAGGGACGTTTTAGGGGATTTGTCGGCGGTGGTGATGACATGGTGAGTAATTCTCTGTGGATTCGGGGCGTACGTCGATTTCGGGGGTGGATGTGTTGAAGCTTATGGAAATCGCTCACTTGGTGTTGTTGATTTAAAAGTTGATGCATGTATCGAAGGTTCACTATCAAAGGTCCGATAACTGATTTGACGCCTGGGTACGCTAGTACGCTTCGGGTAAGATTTGTGCCTGGGGTATCAAGTATCCAAAACACCGTGTATTGATGGATACCCAAGGCATCGGCCAACGGAGAAGATTGACCGGAAGAAAGACGACAAGACGGGATCGCTACTTCTAAAATAGTCGTTTGGGACGTGATTATTGCCGCTACGCAAAAAGATCATGGGGCCCGGTTTACCCTTGTTCAGGTCAATGTTGCTGACATACCAAATGATAAATTGTTTAACCGAAAAACCATTCAGGCCGAGATAAGTACTCAATGAACGTCAGAACAGTAGCTTGAAACAGCAAAAACTCAACAAAACTGGCTCTGTAATAATCCAACGAAGCAATAAACAGACACGGTGGGTAAAAGGCAGTAATAACAAAGCGATTTCAATTCCGATGAATCAACAGATCGCACGACGGATGAATTGACGCCCCTTAGATGCGCTCTTCTCCGAGCCGAGGGGCCCCCCCTTTCCAATCAAGCCGCTCATAGTAGCGGAAGACAAGATCATAACCATCCAAATCGTGAACGATGCGATCCACACGACGATATCCTTCGATGTGCTCCATCTGAGACTTCCGACGGGCCGCCTGCCGTTCGATGTACTTGGCCTCGCCGATGCCGCTCAGCTCGGTATCACTGGGCTTGTTTTCAAAGAGAGTCACAGTGAAGCGACCCGGCTTGAAGATATTCACCACCTGCTTCACAATACCCGCAGTGGTCTGGCCATTCTGCGAATGTGGAACATTGGTCTCGAAGGACGCATAGGAGCAGTGGGGCTCGGGCGTCACATGCACCGTGAAGTAGTGGGTATTGGCCTTTGGGTCCGGAGTCGGGATGACGCCGTTAGCTGAGAAGCCGCAAGGAGTAAACAGGTAGGCATCAATGCGCGACTCGGGGAACTTCTCTTTAGAATAAACATCCGAAAGGCCACACGACTCGGAAACAACAGTTCCCAAGGCGTGGCCTTCCGTGGTCAGTTCCGGTGGCAAAATGCGGGTTCCATCCGTGTCCTCTAGATCCATGTCTGAGTTGTTGCTGAACACGTCGACATGGTCGTTGTTATCCTTGTCAAAGTTGCGGTAGCGCTTCTCAGCGACAGCGGTGGCATTTTCAAGATAGAACTGCTTCGCATTCTCTTCGTCCAAGTCGGTCATCAGCACCTCAAGCGTCTCATCATTGGCGTCATCTCCCTGAGGCAAACCACCTTCTGGGATCTGGAGAAACTTGGTCTCCGTGACCTCCTCATCACCCTTAGGGCTGGCCGGAGGTGTGAGCAAGGTGTTGGGTTCGGTCAGGTACAGGTACCAATGCTCGCCGTTCATCTTGCCAATCATGTAGGCGCTGCCATTCAAGAAGAGCCTGTCCATAGTTCGCACTTCGTCCCGCCAACTGCGGTGGGGACCACGTTGGCGGTCAGGGAACAGGAAGTTCTTGCGACTGTAGAACACACGGTACGGGGCAGCTGCAATACCAACCCCACCGGAAGGAGCCGCGGACTTGGGGAAACCGGCGAACAGAGCAGCAATCTCGAGAATGCGGGGCAGCCCAGAGAGCAAAGTGGTGGTGCCACATGTCTTCAGGATGAGCTTGTGAGGCCAGACGAACATGCTGGACTCTGACAGAAGGTAGGCATCGACGTCCTCAGACGAGACAATGGAAAGCACCTGGCAATTGACGAGATCCAGCATGTCCTTCCAGACCTCCTCCGGCACTGCCTTTAGTCCGGTTGGTTGAGACGAGCCCAATTCATTGGCGGATGGGGCAAACCAAACCTCTAGAAGCTTCTCGGGTCCTATGTCTCATTAGATTTTGCATTGCACTGTTGGATCATGATTGTGCGCGACGTACCTTCGAAGGCGTTGGTGGAATCAAGATCCTGTGTCACCTCATGGTTAATGGTCAGAGAGGGGGTCGCCATAAACGAAGATGGGGACTGCGTATAGTTCTTGGGAATCCCGATGTAAACCATCTTGACTAATTAACAGATGAAGAGGCGAACTGATGGCAATGATATGAATTGGAGATGTGCAGTGAAGCGACGCGCTCGATTCGTGGACCGTAGACAAGAAAGCCTAGGAAGCACTATCTGCTGCCCAGACGAACAGGGGGGGATGTCCGCCTGAGAGAGAAGGCCCTTAACGAGTCGGGAGAAAGTGGCACACAGCCAGAGGGTAGGGTCCAGCAAAGCCTTGAAGGGCTGCTAGGGAGGGCGGAAAGAGAGGGAAAGGAGGAAAATGCCTCTGGCGAAAGGAATGGTGACTATCAGTCGTAAACCCTCGTACTGGAAGATACCGATACCGGTAAAAGTATCGGGTCTAGCAGACGAGGATATCTGCCTTTCTAAAAAAAAAAAATAAGGGAAGTTGGAGAAGAGTGGGAAGGCGTAAGTCGCGTTATCGGGGCCTAGGTGCCAGTGGGATTAGTATGGCGACCACCACCAAGACCGTCACCACCAGGGGACAACCTACTTCGCAGGCTTAGACAGGTATCGCAGTAGATCCTTCGGGCTCATAGAAGGCTAAAATGCAAGAGAGCTCAAAGCAGCAAGTTGTCGCGAGACGCTACGAGTCTGGACATCTGCAAGCGCTCACGGAGGAATTGTCCGAGATCGAGACTAGTTTATCAATTGCTCCAGCGAAGAGCAGAGAAGAAGTGCAAGAGCACCGGTAGAATCGAAAGACAGAAATTTATGTTGACGTGGGGTTGCAAAGGCGTGCAGGTGAATCCTGATATTTATTGCCCTCTTTCTTAATTGCTGTTCGGTGTGTGGGCCCGAGAAAAAGTCGTGGGGCACAAAGCGACGGGAGTGGTTGACGCTTTTCGGTTTAGTTCCAGCTTGGGTTGGGCTCGTTCGCAGAATCCGAGAGAATGAAACGAAGACCTAAAAAAGTCAGAAACAAAGTAATAATAATGTTGATCTTTTATTCGGGGCACTTGGCGTACCGTCTGAACTACGAAGAGAATATGTTAAATCTTTCCACTCACATCGGTTGGGGGTGGTGGTGTGGAAGAAGATCGATCGAAGCCTGATCTTGAAGAGTGGAGGAAGAAGAATTACTACTGGTGGTCGTGCCTCACTTCCTCGTCTCTGCCTTTTTTTCCTTTTTTTCCTTTTTTTTTTTTTTCTTCTGGTTTTTTATCCCTTTTCTGACAAACGCCGGGCTTAGGCTCTCAAACAGTGGGCGGTGAACGGGGCGGGCTGAGTCAGCCGGGAAGTGACGTCGGTCAGGAACGCGGAGAGGCGGAAATTCAATCCAATTACTACGGAGTTACTACTAGTAGATCGATCAAAAGTGGCGGACGTGCATATGGTCATGTAAGGTTCAACTGCACCCAAACCTCCTTCAATTAAATGACTCAATATAATACTGATCGACCACTGGAGAGGAAATTCAATGAGAGATTTTTCTCTGCCAAAAATAAATAATAATAATAATAATAATAAAAAGTCGAATGCTAATTGGTATGTATGTATGATTTGAACATCGGTAACGTCGCTCTCCCCAACGCCGAAACATCAAATAACCTATCCATCCCACCGCCAATGCTCTGTGCTAGGGGGGAAAAAAGGAAAAAAGAAAGGAAGAAAGAAAGAAAAGAAAAGAAAAGTACCCCAGAATAAACGGGAGGAAAGGGGGAGAGGGAGCCAAAAATAGAGTATTCAGCAAAAGAGGGGCCTAAAATCTACACTTCTAGGATCGCATGCACCATATTAACCTCCCCCGCTTCGCTGATCTTGGCTGCGAGAAATTCTCCCACTTTACCATTCAGGCGCTCGCGTAAATCCTCTGTGACGACGCCATTATGCCCATTGGCAAGTGCCGTCCGTCCCTCACGCAAAGTGCCGAGGATCCCAAATAAGACAGCGAGCACTTTCTCTGCTTCGGGCCGTCGCGGATTCTCTTCCGTCATACCGTCTTTCAGTAGCGCTCCGTAGGTCGGTAAGTTAGGCAGGATCAGGACCCGCACGGCCTCCGCTCCCCCAACAGCCTGGAGACCAATAATGGCTCCGTAGTGCGCCCCGAACGGCTTCGACGGGTCCAGGAACGTTTTCAGGCACGACCGAGCTAACCGTGGCTTGAGCGTGTGTGAGGAGTGTGAATACTTTTTGGCAATGAGGCCCAGAAGAGATGCGGCCAGCTCACGGAGCGCGAACTGTTCGGACAGGTCCGCATTGCCTCCAAGCTGTCGACCAATCAGACTAGTCAGGATAGGAGGAACAAGAGATGCAACCTAAGGCGTCCACACGTTAGAAAGCCCGTACGCACGGGAAAGTCGGAGGCAATCTCACATAAGGATCTACGTAGAGTGATTTGTTCTGCACCAGAGCCTCCGCCATGCGCATCACCTGGGTCAGGACGAAGATGTCTTTCAAGCCATGCGTGACCTTTTCAGAGATAAACTGTACAAAATACGGCACTAGTTGGTGGAGTCCTGGGTCTTCCCTCAGGCTCGAATAGGCCGACGTTCTATACTCCTCGCTAGACTCGTCCAGGAAGGCGTTGCAGACTTTTTCGAAGTATAATTGTAGTTCCTTGGATAGCACATGCTTGACCAAAGGCTTCACGGCAACATTCCCGCTACCACTCATTGCCGCCAATGTAGAGTTTGCATTAGGACCCTTGGACATTAATTCAAGGTTTCTCGAGTCCGCTGAGGTAGGATTCTGAGGGATCGACGGCTGTACACCTTCAACGGCCAGCCAGTGTGCTAATAAGAAGTCAGTGAAACATCTCACACACCTTAGCAGAAAATGTCATTACCAGTAAAAGAGATCTCCCTGGGCACCTTCGGCAACGGTGCATTGATCAACTTCTCAAAATCCACCTCCTCATCCTCCACATAGAATAACGGTTGCCCTGGTCCCAACGACGCCTCCCCGAACCGCAGCGGCCTTGTAGACTCATATCCATATAGCGGCTCCACATCGAGCACGCGCAGAGCTTGCGCTATGTCCTGTGTAGTGAGGAGAGTGCGCCGGCTGTGGCGCATGAACTTGAGGGCTTCTTCAAGTACCTGAGCGATACGATATTCCACGTCGCGGGCGAGGTTCTCGGTTACATCGTTGTTGAGGTTGACGATGCCGACGGACTCGGCCACGTCGCGGATGTTATCGGGATTCCACACGGACATCTTGAGTTGTTCGGCGCTGCCGGTCTGATGGTAAGCGCGTGACTGACGAGGCCAGACTCTAGTCAACAGAAGCTCAGGGGTCGTCTGCGATTCGAGAGAGGAATCGAATTATCGCAAACAGTGAGAAGATTTGGGGAGGGTGAGGGGCATTCTGGTAAAAACCACCAGAAGTACGACTGCTGGGTACAGCACGGAGCGGTGATCAGCTTGTGGTCCCTGACACCTTAGGATGAGCTTCGGAGGTATGAAGAAAGCGAGCGGAATTATGGGTCTCGGTGTTACGATAT